ATTAGTCGACTAATCGAAAAAATAATCGGTGATTAATCGATTATAAAAATAATCGTTTGTGGTAGCCCTAGCTAACCCTAATTTCATACGGACTGAAAAACATTTCTTTCGTGGCGTACCCTCTGGTGGGGAAACACTATTTTGAGGACACGCACTTGTAGGCATGTTTTTGGCAGTGGAGGATCAGCTCGTGCTATTTGGTCCCAGGAGACTGTTTTTAAATTAGCCAGAAGGACAGCTTCAAGGAGCAGCTCGTCTGGTTCTATTGAACATGTGAACATGTAACTGACGTCCACATCTTCTTTAAATCTCTGCAGTTAACAAGAAAAAAAAAGTTGTTCTTCCTCTGACTACTCATCCAACAACACAAGCCTTTCTTTACTACAACTACTGTTGTTGTTTATGCTTAGCTATGCACAACGTATTCTACATTGGGAAGGCAATGGGAGAAATTATGATGATTATGATTTATCCCCCACAACATAATATTTTACTTATATACAAATGAAAATATTGAAGCTTATTGTGGTAGTTAGTGGTGGGCACAGTCCCGCTAATCCGCTAATAGCAGAACTAGCTTCTCATTAGCAGATTAGCTTTGTTGCAAACTTTGAAAACTGCTAGCAGACCAATTAGGTTCCACTACTCTTAAGTCCACTATAAAATTCACAAATGTAAAACTTAGTTAATTTGGAGTAGTTTGACCCTCCTGCTGTCCTTGGGTCAAAACAAGGCTCAACCGACCTCCGTGTTAAGACTGAGGCTTCGACTGTCATTCTGACCCAAAGGGCAGCAGAAGGGTTGGGACAAATGATCTCATTTCAAAACCAAGAACAAAAAAGAAAGGCTAAAAATGTGATTTAAACAAACATTTTTACTTTGTAGGCTTAATGAAAGCCTTAAATAAAAATTACAGCTAATGTGGATAAATTACGGTAAATGTTTCCGTTTTGCTTTCCRTGCTCATCACACCGTGTCGTCTCGGGTCAAATATGAGTAGAAACCCTTTGCCAGGCCATGCGTGTCCTCCTACACGCTCGCATACATCAAACCACATGTCATTATGGTCACTTTTGGAACATGGATGGTTGCTCCGCGCACTTAGAGCTAATTAGAGTCCAATCACAGCCAGGCATGACCGAGTGGGGTTTCCTCCGGTGCACAATGAGCCGACCCCGCCCACGGCCTCTGGAGACTCACTCGTACCGAGGTGGAGAAAGTTAAGTGTGGTTCTGCTCAGTTAGAAAAAGCCGATAAGGAAACATTCATTTTTCATAGAAATAAATGTTGCTGCCAAAGGAGGAGGTTTACCTTTCAGTCAGACTGTACTTCCTGTTGAGCTTGGTGGTTTCCTGTTGCCGGGCGTGATACGCCTGTGAAGAGATTTGAAGTGGGTTAATAACCTTAAAGGAATGAAGGAAAGCTTCAATCAGCTGTAAAGTGCTGCTCAGCATGCGTTCCTGCTGAGGGGAAATGGCTGCTGCTCCACCCTGCAATGTTCTTTGGTGACTCACCTGGAGGCTTTCCACTGAATTTAGAGCATTTTCTGTTAAATGCAAATATGAGGTGCTTTGGTGAGCCACAGCTCTATTAAAAATAATAATTAGTGTTTTAACTTTTATTCTTATTATCAAGCTACAGATCAGATTAGATCATATGGTATTGTACAGAAAGTTTGAGCCACAGTTTCTTTATGTTTAGCTTTTTGTATAATATACTTTTGTGGTCTAAAACAATTGTTCTTCCGATTTTGTAAAGGTTGGGATTTTATAAGGTTTTTCTTAGCCTACTCATTTTCTGTTCTGCACTGGACCATTTTCAGGAAATGTTTTTAACCCATTTATCTTTGACCTATTGATCACTAAGAAATAAGAAGGCTCATAAACTCAAGGGATGAACATGTGTTGTGTGACACGTAACARACAAGAAACCATTTTATTTTGGCTCTTTGATACCAGCCGCTGATTTTTTTAGTTGAATCTATAGACTCCAAACAATAATACAGTTTGAAAGAAAGAAAAAAATTAAGGACAAAAACTTCTTTATCAGATACCCCCCAATTTATTAAAGGCATGACTTTCAGATACACAGTGAAGCCCCAATTTTCGCAGTGGTTACATTCTTAGATTACCCACGAATTGTGGAAAAATGTGAATATTGGATGTGGTCCAGAAAACTGCTGTATTTCTTTTATACGGAACTGAATTCACGTGAATGTTTATGTTACAAAATGAGGATATTATTAAAAATTTGGCTTAACAAAAAAGAAAGAAAAATAATGATCGTTACTGTACCATATTTACTGTATTTGCAGTATCCGCAATATTACGGAGATTATTGCAAACTACTAAAATCTGCAAAACACAGTCTGCAAATTGTGAACCACACATTTGCGGGCCTTCACTGTGTGTATTTTCAGATACTGTTGATCTGATGGAGAGTTTTTAAAGCCTGACTTGTCTTTAGTCCTCAGTTTGTCCACTTTCTTCATTTTTGAAAACTACACAGCACATTATACAAAGTCAAGTTTTCTGATAATACAGTAGGACCAGACAGAAAATGAGTGAAATAGTACCCAGTATTTAAAAAATTTATTTTAAAGACCTTCAAAAAGTCTACGGATGTATTAAATAATACAGCTTTTACAAATGACAAAGTTTGATTYCTTGAAAGCAAAAACTAAAGTAGGGCATGGCTCAAAACTTTTGCACAATATGTATAATGATCAGGAGAGAAATAAATCCATTGTGACATTTAATTCCATCTTTCAGCTTGAATTACAGTACATACATTGCAGACAATGAAACTAGGGGTGTACCAATTGTGTTTTTCCGGCCGATCACCAATCTTTAAAAAGTCCGAACTGCCAATTCTAATTTTGGCCGATACAGATTTTATTTATTTATTTTTAAATAACTGACACTGCTGGGTGTTATAAGGTCTCAATACACCTTCAATGCTCCAATTTTATCTGATTGAAAAACATTAAACAATACCCTGGACAACAGCCCTCTCTCAAAGCAGAGCAAATGAGGACAGCGGCTGATTTTCAGACCTTTGTGGAGGTACTGTAGATAAGATCAGAGGATAAGATCAGCATCTCACGTAAGTACCATTCGAGTCTTCCAAAATTAAGAAAATTGGGGCTGATATATTGGCTGGTTGATTTATCAGTGCACCCCTAAAATAAATTGGAACATTTTTCATAAGAAAAACTCAGTCASGACAAAGAACGTAAAAACTGATTCTATTTTAAGGCCTATTTTTAAATAAATTAGAAAGAATATAAAGAATGATTATTAGACACAACCTTAGACGACTCTACTTATTATATGGCTAAATAGAAGAATAAATAAATATAAAAAGCTGCTAAATATCTTTGGCTCAAGTGAATGAATGAACTTGTTGCACTTTCATTATTCCTTCCAAATAAAAGCCGACACCCACAGACACCAACAGAGGCTGTCTAAACACACCAGCAGGGTCCTCTCACACACACACACACACACACACACACACACACACAAAAGACTTGTTCTGTGCGCGATGCAAATCTCCACATCCAGGGGGCATTTATGTTGGCCTGATTGGATCAAAGTTTTACATATCTGGCCGTCACTTGCTGTCAGATGAACAGTGTCTCCATGAAATAGGAGCACTTTAGAGAAAATATCTCAAATGCTTGAATARATATGGCACTTAAAAAAAACAAGGTCTACTAACATTTTTAAAAACTTGTTCTTGGGCCATCAATGCTAAACTAACTAGAAAGTCCAGGCATTTTTAAGTTCTGAATGTTAGACTCTTACCTGTCATAGCTCTAAGAATGACCTCAGTTTGGAGAAAAAAAATTAAAATTCAACAGGGCTAAAGAGCTTACAGCCTAAACATTAATTTACTTTCCAAATATGGTGTTTCTATTACAAACAGGATTTTTTTTTTTTTGCATTTTCTTGTGATCTAAACATCCAACCATCTGCTTTTTCCTTTCCTCGTTGTGGGGGTTATTGGTGCCCATATCCATCAGCAAGCATTTAGCTAGAAGGGAGTCAAGAACCTGTTTGGTTTTACGATGCCCTCTATCAGCTGGCGACACCTGAGGACGCCCTGCCAATTTTTGGGTTTGCTGAGATTATTTTTTTAATTCTAYGTAAATTTCGTAAACTTCCACAAACTCCAAAAATGGTGGACAAGGTGGCCGCAGTTATTTTATGAGGCCAAATGAAGACACATAAGAAAGTATATTGAACWGGCTTAGACAGAGGAGGTGGGCAGCAATTTTACAGCTGCAGTAGCCGTTGTGTGAYGTTTTCACAATCTCTGGCCTCGGTCCATTTGTAACAGTTTTCACTTACGTAAATTTCGTAAGCTTGTGTAAACTTCGGAAGTGGCAGGTAAATGGGGTAGTGTTGAAATCCTCCTCTAAAATCCTACCTGAGACTGTCCATCAGACTTTGTGAAAGGGGCGGGATAGACCTTGGACAGGTCACAGGGACACAAAGAGACAAACGAGACACCCAGAAATGTCCCAGCCAGGATTCAATCCAGCAACCATCCTGCTGAGAGGCAAYGTCTCTATACCAACTGAGCCACTAATCTTAACAAACCAACAAACAAATTTCCATTAGGGTTGGGCATAATCGTATTGTGTGCAATTAATAGTCAGAAAAACTTTAATCGATTATTTTTTGGCACTTGACAATTAATACGATTTATGCCACCAGGCAGACTGACTGGAGATTTCTCCAGACAGTCTGCTCAGTGCTCCTCTCTAAAAGAAAAAAGTTCCATAATTTATTTATCTATCAACACAATTTAAAATTTGTAGCCTGAAGTCTGTAATTTTGACACAATTTGATTTTTACAAAGAGCAAATCTTTCCCACTAAATTGGTCATTTGACCAGGACATAAGGGTGACCAGAGACTCCAGGGAATTAATCATCAAATTAATCATTATCGACTAAATACCACAATTAATCGTGATTTCTTTTTGCCAATATTGCCCAACCCTAATTTCCATACAATTAAAACTCCAACTGAAATGCAGCCTTTTTGTCTAATTGTGCAACTTAAAGAAATTTCAACTAAAACATTTAGTAAAATCTGCTGCAAAGTTTGTCTTCAATGATTTAAAGGGACAATATCATGTGAAATCAACTTTTTTGAGTTTTATATCATGTTATAATGTTATACTCTCATAAAAAACATGCCCAAAGCCTTGCTCTGACTCATTTATTCATGTTTGAGAAATCCTGCAGCATTTTTAGGAAGCCATGCAGAGGAGCAAAATGACAGGTGGGGACCAGAAACGCCTTTGGGGTCCAGAAATGCCCCTGGGACGTGTTTTTAAGCCAAACTCCCTCATCACGGAGCACACCTCCCCATCCCCCACCCCACACACCCCGCCCATGACTCCTGCAGGCTCTCGGGTGAAAGTGAAACTTAAATTGTCTGCTGCTCTCAACACTACTTCTCAGTGAAGCTCTTTTCAGATACAAAATACCTTTGAGAAAATGTATTTTCAGATGCCAAGTAAACTGCATCATAGCGCAAGCGACCCCCCACCCCCCGCCCATGACTCCTGCAGGCTCTCGGGTGAAAGTGAAACTTAAATTGCCTGCTGCTCTCAACACTACTTCTCAGTGAAGCTCTTTTCAGATACAAAATACCTTTGAGGAAATGAATTTTCAGATGCCAAGTAAACTGCATCATAGCGCAAGCGACCCCCCCCCCACTGAAATGGGACGAGACAGAAGCAGAAGGTGGTTCTTAAAGAGACAGAGGCCAATTTCAAGGCATTTAGAAGAGGAAGTGATGAGGAGATAAGTTTATTTTCTATTTAAACATAAAAACAGCATTTTAATAACAACTAAAGGTGACACAGATACTTTATTATGGTATAGTATTTAAATGTATGCCTGAGAAACACAGAATATTGCCCCTTTAAGTTTTTGTTTATTGCAAATGGTACATAGTGTAAAAAATACACATTAATTTAAAGTTAACCATTAAAAAAAAACACTTCTTCAGCTGACCGAATATAAGCCACTAACATTGATGCATTTTTATATTTCTTGATGTCTAAAATAACCTGCTTTAAATTAACACACAACTTAACTAATAAGCATACATACCCTGTTTGATTTAAAATATTTTGTGTTAACATGCAGTGTTTCCCCTACCTACCCCACCGCCCCCCGCCAACGAGACAGCCTGTCCCTCTAAGAATTTCACAGCATGTAGTCATTTTTATTTAAATAAGGCCAGATCAAGTCGAGAGCTATTTTTTTTGCGACCCTCCATATCCACCTCTCACCAAACTTGGGGAAAAAGACGGCGCAGAGCGAGGCTGAGC